TCGTTACATTTTGAATGCTTAGCAGGACAGAAATGGACCAATTCACACGCATCCCTGGTAATCTCTACTGCCTCTGATCTGGCGACTCACTAAACACAAATGCTTTGTTTCTGAATGATGTCTGAGTGTTGGAGTGTGCCCCTGGCTATCCATACATTTAAAAAACACAAACAATTGTGCCATCTGGTTTGCTTAATATACGGAATTTGAAATTATTTATTATTTTACTTTTGATACATAAGAACAATTTTTTTTTTTTTTACCTTTATTTAACTAGTCAAGTCAGTTAAGAACAAATTCTGATTTACAATGACGGCCTACACCGGCCAAACCCGGACGACGCTGGGCCAATTGTTCGCGGCCCTATGGGACTCTCAATCACGGCCGGTTGTGATACAGCCTGGAATCGAACCAGGGGGTCTGTATTGACGCCTCAAGCACTGAGATACAGTGCCTTAGACGGCTGCGCCACACGGGAGCAATTACATTTACTTTTGATACTTAAGTATATTTAAAACCAAATACTTTTAGACTTTTACACAAGTAGTATGTTACTGGGTGTCTTTCACTTTTACTTGAGTCATTTCCTATGAAGGTATCTTTACTTTTACTCAAGTATGACAATTGGGTACTTTTTCCACCAATGCAATTCCATGTAGGCCTAACTATCTGTGGAACTCAGGTGTAACAGGTGTCTTTTGCTATACGTTTTGTCTGCATAAAATACGTTTATATAAAGTGAAATGTTTATTTTCTGTCGCAGTGGCTACAACAACTCTATAATAGACCTATTACAATAAATACCACCACTCAAACACATCTTAATTGAACTTGCGCTTGCCTAAAACTAGATGGCGCAAATGGTCCAGTAAACGACCAAACAAACTGCATACCCAAACAGCGTCAGTGAAAAACAGTGAGAACTTGTTAACCCACATCTTGGTCGCAGAAGATATTTCATGGTAGGCTATGCATGCCTAAATCAGCTAGACCTGTGATGTAACAGATTGCTTCATTTGATTACAGTAATGTTGAAAACAGATTACTATCAGTGTCATGAGATATACAAATTACACATTTTCTATCACATTATTAAGAATGGACTCATGTAAAAGGGGACAATACCTGTTCCTGTTAAATATGTCTTTACGTGTTACTTTCAGCTGTGAAAGGCTTTTCCATAAATTACGTTTGCGTTTTCTGTGAAATGTAAGATAATTTTGGCCTATGTGTAAAAACATTTGCATGGTTTTCAAAAGACAATCTGGTCACTCAATAGAACATTTTAGTTTGTTCAGCAAACATTTGATGAGCTATTCAGAGAGAGGGAGCTTTTTAAACAAATTGTCAAATGTGGGCTACTGTAAAGGATGTTAACTTACACTGTATCTACAGCTGTGTGTTTTCTTGACCACAATACAAATGTGGTTCTTCCAAATTAGCCAATTCACGTTTTGGTTAGCCTAGACATTAATAACCATGTGGATTGTGGTCTGAGTAAAGTTCAAAACATGTTAGGAGTGTTAATAAAGTCTGTAAAAGTAGCCCATAGACACAAATATTCGTTCATTCACGTTACAAATTGAATAATTAATTTTCATTCCAAATAATAATAATTATTGATTTGACGATTTCAAATATATGTCATTATAAGGACCTCATTGGATAGCTTCTTCATACAACTAATTACAGAATAAATCAAAAGTTTGGTTTCAAAGTGATTTTTCCTGCCTGCACGTCCTGCAACTATGCTTCGTTTAAACAAATGTATGTTAGAATATGAAAGCAGCTTTAATAGCCTACCACCGAGGTTTACACTATTTGAAATGTCAACAATTATTGAGGTTAAATTATTTAGATAATTCCTTAACCTCAATCCAATGAAAACAACGTCACATATTCCAAGTATTTAAGAGGTTGGTAAGATTTAATCTACTCATAGGTATATCCTCGAGAGAGATAAGGCCACATTTATTTATATGGACAAGGTAGCCACTCTCTCTGGGTAAAGCTAACGTATTTTGAAGGCAACCACGACCAGCCTCCCAGTTTGAAGCTTGGCAAGGCTATGCGTCTTTGGATAACACTTTGGACAAACTCTAAACGACTTTCATGCCATATTTAAACCACTGCTCCTCCAATCTTCATTTAAAGTTGACCTGATAACATTAATACTTTGTTGGATACGGACTCAAAAGTTAAAGGGTTTACACACTAAACAACAACGTAATTACAGTGATTAAAGAAATTCGTAATTGTATGCATGGTTGGTGAGGGAGCTTTAATCCCCAATAGCTAGATAGGCTATAGTTCAGTGACTTTCTTTTTACACATACAAGTACAGTTAGTCATCTATTTGCAAGCTCTCATTACACAATGCTGGCAATGCACCAAACCATCAATTTTTGTATTAGAGAACAGAGGCCCGTGGCTTGATATCCGCTTAATTGCGCCCATTCTCTTCCCACTTCTACTGTCATATTGGACAAAAGGTCTGTCAATCAATTCTGCGAAGGAGTGTCAAATTCTTACACTTAACCTCCAATAAAATACATGTTTTAGAGTGCTATTATAAACCTGAAAAAAAAGTTAATAGCTTATTTGTTAGACTACTTTTATTTTGAGGAAAAATGGACAGCTGTTTCTATTCATGGTTAGTTATTTGCTTATTTATAGCCAATCTTTTGTTAATATTTATATGTATTCTTTAAATAAACTTAAGGCATGCTCGTCATTGCCACAACAAATCTTACAGCTGAGCACCAGATAATGCAACCCTATATGCGATTGAATATGCTCTTTTTACAGTTCTCAAACGCCCCCACCGGGTTCTCCACTTGATGTGGCCTATGCCAATACGTGACCAGTTATGGCCACCACTACTTCCGGGTTTGCACAAATTGGTCAAAGCTACCCTCTCTGCGTTATGCGCCTTGCAACAACAACACACACACACGCGCGCGCATTTGGAGACCCAAGCACGGCATTCACACTGCACATCGGGATCCACCAAAACGCGGACAGACGACGGCTCCTTTAAGAAAAACTAAGTCAGAAAATATCACCCCTCCTTCTTCAGATCTCCACTTGGATGGTATTGCATCAAATAAAACCTTTACTGGAGTTGCAAGTGATCGAGGCGACGATAGGGACTGTTTTTGAACATCTCTCCATGAATATCTGAAGCATTCCAAGTGAGGGAAGAGCGCGACGAGTCATCATTAATTAAGCAACTTGACAACCTCGATATTGATTGACAGCTTGCTTGTTGAGCGAGACTAGAGTCTCACTGTTTTTTTTTTCTGTAAGGGGCATTTTTACACCAGTCGCAAGCGTGAAGTCGTAGCCTAGTGTCGCTTGTTTATGAACGGTCTCCAGGAGAAAGCGAAGGAGCTCTATACTGGATTGTGGTGTTTTTGTCAATTGCTGGATTTATGCTGACGATCTGGCAACCATCCTCTCTGGAGAGACGAGTACAGTATTCTTAATCTTGCATTTGGAGTTAGGTGTTTATTTTCCCTCAGCCCTGGCCTCGTAGAAGACGTTTAGAGTCCGATTGGAATCGGCTAGAGTGACAGGCCGATGGCGCAACGGGTGCGTATTGACAGAACTTTTAGCAATGGCAATAAAGCTACAATTGAGACGTGGCTGATTACTGTGCGCAATTTTCCATTTGTATGGCACAACAAGCAGGCAGCTAGGCAATAAGATAGTGTTTCAGCCCTTTGGTAGAGCTATAAGTTGTTATATATACCCCTGCTACATGCTAGCCTACTATTCAGCATTTGAACGTGTGTGAGTACAATAAACAATTGCATTTTCATATTGTCTAAAGAACTATAGACTGCAGACTGCAAACTTCATCACATAATTCATTTTACCCAACTATTATGACATGTGTTTTGATATTCTGCATTTCGTAAACGCCGCATCCATCTTTGGGGGTCCAGTGTTTAATGTAGGCTATAACCAAGTTGTTACACATCAACTTAAAAGATTTACATAAAAAACATGATGTAAGTTTGGTAACAATAACATGGACGACATTTCACAAATGTTTTGTGTGTATGCAATATCAGTCTTTACATATATGAAAATTATGTAGAGAATGTTCGCTTTGGGTTTAGTTTGTTGATATCTGTCCTTTTCAACATTTCATAATATTTTACATTCTTATTTGATATATGACATACAAATAAATCAATTCAACATTTAGTGTAAAAAATATGTGATTACTTAAAAACGTTCTCAACATATACTCGAAATAGTTTAGATAGGCCATGTAGCCATGCATGAACAATTAGCCTATCTAAAATGCATCTGTCATTTTTTAAAGTTTCTTTAAGCTATTAGTTTTGTCAAGATAAACAAAACAATATTTTATTTCTTTGAAATATCAGCAAGAATACAGACTGAAAAGTGTAGACATTTGTGATATTGTTTTGTCTAAGCTAGACCCTGTTGTTCTAATCGGCTGAAAGAATTAAGCCTACCAAAAACGTTTGAAAGTTTTAGACACATAAAGGTTAACTGCCTTTTCACAACGTTTTAAAATGTTAATGATCCAACGAATCCACAAACAATGAACATTTGCCATTGATATTCAATTAGATGATCAACATAGGCTTTTATTGCCACTAATATTATTCCTACCACTAAACATACCATAGGCTACTATTAGCACCATATACCTAACACATTAGCACTTATTTTATATACTAATTTAGTAGGCCTAGATGTATTTGATATTATTAGTATAGACTGCCAACAACATCATTCTAGCTATTTTACTATTGTTATTAATACATTTTTCTTGTTATTAGTCTTTATAATTCGTTTTTATTGTCAGTATCATTACATTATGACTTTTAGTATAGCTATTATCAACACAGGCCTTCATTCAAAATTAGGAGAGGTAGCACAACAGTGTCATTGGTTATTATTTTAGAACATTCTCTATATTTCACTTTTGACAGTATGAAGACCTTCCCCATTATGGAATGGACGGAGTAGGGCTGCCCTCGACTATGTACGGGGACCCTCATGCAGCGCGCTCCATGCAGGCGGTTCACCTGAACCACGGGCCCCAGTTCCACTCGCACCAGTACCCGCACTCAACACACGCCAGTGCCATACCGCCCAGTATGGGCTCCCGTCAACGACGCTATAAAAAGAGACAAAGATGCCATTTATGGGTACGTTTATTTTACTGCCAACGTAAAGTGTATAGCCATTGGGGATATTAACCACCACAAATGTGAGCGATGAAAGTTTAAGAGAGAGGGAGGCTTTGGGAAATTCTCGCTAATTAGAACCTCTTCTGTGTTCGGTCATTACGCATGGTGCTATATAGGCTTGTTTAAACATTGTATATCTGTTTTGAAATGTTAAATTATGACATTGTCCCCTGAGATTTCGAAAAGATGCATAGGCTACGTTTGCATTTGGCTTTCAGTCTAAATATGATGTTATTTTGCATTGACAAAATTCATGATTTGGATGTAGCCTATTGTTTAACAGGAGCCAGTGGTTGAGTTAGATAACCTAACTCCCAAAATGTTTGTAAATCCAACTCTCAGAATTAAACAATTGTACATCAAACACATTCTCAAACTGCCCTGCCTACTTCACAATAATGTATAGGCAGCGTTGTTTATATTTGTGTGCCATACTATAAGCCTATTTTCAGGGCAAATGTAATAGTCTTATACTCTATTGTAAAGCTCATAATGTAATCCCACTGAAGAATATGGTGTTATTTCGTTGTCCTAAAATGTTGAATCGTGTTCTAAATAAGGCACTCGAGGGCTGAGGTTGCCATACGACCAGTTATGCCTATATGACCAACTATTTTCATGCAGTAGGACTAGGCCTACTTTTATATAATTATTGTGCTGTTACATTTCTGAATGTTTTATTAGTGCAGTATTTATTCAACTTGCAACTGAAAACAGAAGGCAATGTGATTGAAAGTCGATGTAACCTACTTTCTTAGTTTAGGTTATACCGACTCGCAAACTTTCCAAGGCGGCGTATAGTGTTAATGTCCTCTCTCTTCCTTTTAGGCACCCCCTTTTCCCACTTCTAGCACTGATTTTTGAAAAATGTGAATTAGCAACTTGCACACCAAGAGAAACTGGGGTCGCTGGAGGCGACGTGTGTTCCTCCGAGTCTTTCAATGAGGATATAGCAGTATTTTCAAAACAGGTTAGACATATCTGTTTACTTGTTTTGGTGAAGTTCAAATTCGTTCAAATTCTAATATTTTAGGGTAAATAACTGTTGTGCATATTTACATGTTGTGTAATTCTGAATTGTGAAAACGTTGTAAGCAAAGCAGTCCCATGCATGTGAACACCATGGTTAGCAATGATGTACGACGCTCAGTAAACAGTGAACTTGTAACACTTTTGTTTCAGATTCGATCAGAGAAGCCTATATTTTCATCAAATCCGGAAATTGATAATTTGGTAAGAACTCACTTGCTTTAGGTTATTCACAAGAACAGTATCGAACAGTTGGCCTATGAATACATGCATTCATTGTCTACAGTAGCCGACACTTTAGTGTGAATTTGACTTTATCACAGTCCTTGTTATTAATGATGTCATAACAGATACACGTTTGTGTAATCGTTTTCTGTCAAAACGATTTTCTTGTCATAAAGTTTGTTTGCTTTCATGCTAATTATTTTCATAATGTTGATCCTGATCCATTTTGCCCACACGTTATTAATGGACGTGCGCGTGCAAACACACGCACACGCACGCACACACACACGCACACACACACACACAATATTAATAATAATGTAATGCTCGAAAATGTGAATAAAAATGTTTTAATGCAAACCCTTTCCTCCTAGATGATACAAGCAATTCAAGTATTACGGTTTCATCTGCTCGAGCTGGAGAAGGTAGATATACTCATAACCATCTCATGCACTGTGTGACTGATAGGCCTGGTGCTGTAAAAATCTTTGATATTTTATCGCAATCGATTGCGATGATGAATAGCATTAGGCTATAACTTCGTAGTAGAGGTGTAATAGTGGTGGTAGTATAGTTGGTTGCCCAAATAACATTTTTATGTTATGGAGTTGATAATGTTGCCATTGATGGAATGCGCTTGAAAAATATTAGGCGAGAGCGTTTATATAATAGTCGCCATATTGCTCATGTTAGGCCTATATTGCAACTTTCATTAGTGAGGAGATCACGTCGCTAAAGTATCCTACAGTTCTCGCTCAATTATATAAAAAAAAAAGTAAGAAAAAAAAGTAATCATTCGTTTTTCTACAATTAATGTCAAATGTATGTAATGTAATGTAGTTCTGCTATTTTTGAAGCCAATTTGCTTGAATCGTAACTTAGGCCTGTCACAAGGGCAAGGGATAGGCAATTCTTTATAATATCACTCATTACCACCATCTACATTTTATTTTTTAGGGCTTTCCCATAGGGTATAGTGTTCACTCCGTTTTGATACATGTTTGCAGGTACACGAGCTATGCGATAATTTCTGTCATCGATACATCAGCTGCTTGAAAGGAAAAATGCCCATTGATTTGGTCATAGACGACAGGGACGGTGGAAATAAATCTGACAGTGAAGATTTTACAAGATCGTCTGGGCCTCTTGATCAGGTAAGCTCTTGCCTATCACATGCGTATTAATACAATTGTCGTCTATTAAGTGCATTTGAATTGTAGGCCTATACAGAGAACACGTCGCACGCGTTTTATGCTGTCTAGATAGTTTTATCAAAATAGATAGGCCTATGGAAAAAATATAATTTAGGAAATTGTTGGCCTCCTCTTAGTGATATAGATTGATAAGTGACCTTAAAATAAATCAAATATCAAATGTAGGCCTACCATTTGACAAAATGACAATGTGAACAAAGTGTATATTCCATTTAATTTCCAAGCATAATAAATGGTTTCTACTTTTTTCTGACATGACCATTAACATGTTTTGGAAAAAACTTGTTTGAAGCAAGGATCCCGGTAAACAATTGCTTGGCTTTTATTATATTACTTCATGATTAAATGCTTCGAGGGACTATGGGAAACATTTTAATTGTTATTATGCAATTTTATGGTGTTTTATGTGTTAATTATGTTCATTGTGCTGCATGTGCTCGAAAAAGTTACCGTTGACCAAAAAAGGGGCAAGAGGTGAAGAGTCAAGTCTGCTCCTTTTTCGTGTGAATGCAATCAAGCCAGTTTTGAAGTCATGTTGCACCACCCTTTGAGCAAGGCTTTAGGAATATGGAATCCCTTCCTCCAAGTGCCATGTCAGCCACACAGCGACTTGTTAACCATTTAACCCTTTATTTACCAAAGCAACGAGCATCAATTCAGGCAGCTTAGTGGAGTGTCAAATGGCGCACAACTCATATGTCTCGGTGTTTAGTTTCAAACACCCTCCCTAACCTATATCATCCTGTTGTTGAGATGTTCTGAGTGTCCCATTCACTTTACTTCAGGGTTCCAAGCTCTGTATTATAAAATAGTCCTCTATCCAAGCTGTATTCTAGTGTGAATCAATCTACTATATATCACAAATTAATATATAGCCCATTCAGTCCCTCTCACTTCCATCCAGTAGTACTTCGATCACATCTGCTGATTTGCACTTTGATAGCCTTCGTTGATTGTGCTGTCACCTGCCAGAGTATTTTTATTATTATCGATCAATCATCATGATCAATGATAAGCGCGGGTCCCCTGGGTCTTATAAGCACTGTTTATTTATACTATTGATTAAACAAGTTGTGTGGCTCAGTTGGTAAGAGCGTGGCGCTAGCAACACCTGTCGTAGGCTCGATTCCCACTGGGGTTGCATATACTCAAATGTAAGTCGCTTTGGATAAAAGGGTCTGCTAAATGGGATACATTATGAAGTAGCACATTAAAGTGTAGCCCCTTGATGTGGAGGTCAACCCAATAACCTGTCCCACCAGCCTTCACTCTCCCACCCATATGTCCATGCATGGTACAGCACCCGCCCGACACACACCCTACCTTGCAGGCACTTTGTCCCCACACCTCTAGCCTAATAGTGTAACATTTTCACACTTAATTCCACACTTAATTTCTCTTCTCAAGTGGGGCTGTATAGGGAGTATCTAACACTGGTTATGGGGGAATAGTGGGAGGTGGTGACGGTGTTGTGTGTGTGTGTGTGTGTGTGTGTGATGTGTACATGTTCGAGTGCATGTGTGTGTGTGTGTCTCGGTACTTGAAACCCTCCGTCTCTCGGGAGTGGTTCCATTCTGATTGAACAAATCTCTTCAGTCCTATACTCACTCCCCCTCTTCCATCCCCCTTGCTAGTTTCGTTGGGAACTCCTCTTGTTGGAGTTGGCCATCGCAGCTTTAACCATTTGTGTTCTGAGCATATGTTCTAGATTACCACAGCCTGACGGCATTCTCTTGGTATGCAGCGTAATACATTATATATATTTTTCCTTTTTTTCCTTCCCAAAGAGGACTTATTATTAGTCATTTGCTGGTCAAAAACGATTAGGAATAAATGGGTATGCATTCTGACCTGGAGTTAGCAATGAGTTAGCCACGATGCACCGCCAACTGAGGGGAGTAGCTAGTCAGTGTGTACAGGGCTGTTTGGCTGTGTGTTTGGAATGACTACAGGCTATTTCTCCTTTTCCCCACATGATATGTACTGCGTATGATATGGATATGATATGTAAGGAAACTAAGAATGTGGCTTTCGTGCCGACATACCTTTGGGTCTCCATCCATATCTCTTTTAATCAGTCGGCCGTGGATTATTCTCTATGACTAACTTCACTTAAAGCCCTTGGTTTCAATATGACGCATAGACCATTGACACGTTCTCTGTGGTAAATCGTAGCTTCTTGGCTGACTGTCGGTGTCATGTCATCCAATCAGATCTCGTGGAGCAGAGACCACGATGACACAGCGTCAGTTCGCTCGGCGGGGACGCCCGGGCCCTCCAGTGGGGGACACACGTCACACAGTGGGGACAACAACAGTGAAGAAGGTAAGGATTCACTGATAGGTAAGATAACTGGATAGGTGTCCATCATTATTGCTTTTGTCTTTCAAGTATACTTTCATATCAGTAGGAGGAACGAGGAAGCTATTTTAGAGTTTTGGGACAGATCAGATTCACTTACAGGTAAAAATACTAGAAAGGTGTCCACCATTATCGCGTTCGCCTATCAGGTACTTTCAGATTAGTGGGACAGTGTTGGCACTGATTCGATGTCAAGCCAATGAGTGAGTGTCACGTGTTGGCGAGTTTGGATTGGATGTGATGTTGACTAGAAAGAGAGACAGCAGAGAGAAAGAGAGAGTGAATGATGAGGGTTGACAGAAAAATGTGAATGCAGAGCTCAGACCGGGACTGGATCTGGAAGAAAGGGCGCATTATGTTCTAGTCGACTGAGCGACGATTTATATACCAGCCTCTGCGCCTCTTTTATTTGGACATGGGGAAAGAGTAATAACAGAGAGCAGTACACACACACACACACACACACACACACACACACACACACACACACACACACACACACACACACACACACACACACACACACACACACACACACACACACACACACACACACACACACACACACACACACACACACCCCACACACATTCGATGCTAGGCTATCTCCTAATGGTTGGGGTAGAAGAAGACCAAAAGGGACTCTCTCTCCTCTCCCATTGGCCGTCTTTATGAGCAGGGATCTGGGTTCGTGGACTCCCGCCACACTGTCCAAATAGTTTCAATCAGATGTGTATCACCTATTACCAGGGCCATTTGCAAAGTGCCGTTTGTGTGCCAAGTGCAACAAGTGCTCAGGGGTTTTGTTATCTCCCGCATACATTTGCAGTTTAGCACCGCCACGGGTGGACTGCTTTGGGGATATCTGTGTGTTTTAACTCCCAAACACAAATACAGTCACACTGCCAGAACACTAGGCCCAGAACACAAACACCCCTAATGCCCTTTTTATTCCCCATTTGGATGGTTGGGGAATTGTGGCTCCTTCAAGGGAAGTATTTGACAGAAACATATTGGTTGAGCTTCTGTTGGATAGTGGATTCTTGGTTGATCCATATTGGGGGATGTAGTCCAGTGATACCTTTACACTGGTTCCTTGCATCTCCTAGATAGGCCAGAGAAGCTACCATTGGATAGTCATGGTTTTCAGACTTTTCAGGAAAAACCTGATGCATACCTGAGGAGGGATTTGTTATCTCCCACTTTAACTGTAGGGAGGGGAGGTGTAAGTGCCGGGAAAAAGAGGGAGGAAGAAAGAAACCAGAGGGAAAGCTGGTAAATAATGTCCCAAAGAAGGCAAACCGTTTCAATGACTTAGTTCATCGCTATGGTGATGTCTGCAGTTTGGTCAGACATTTAACTTCTGTTCATTTGAACTTGCTGGTAGCCAATAGAGAATGTCCATCCAAGACAAGTAGTCAATTCATCTCAATCTTTCCTTTGTGTATTGTCTGTGTTTTGTTGTCCATGGTTGCTTGAAGTTATCACAGACCTGAGCAAAGGGCCATTCTTCACAGACCCTTGGATTGGCCGGCAATGGTCACATGGCTGCCTCGCTCCTATAGGGAAGTGTGTCTTGCAAGAAATGACCAATGGTGGAAGCGTGGTGCAAACTAAAAGGTCCTCTCTCCTCCCAGGCCCCTTTCACCAGACCATGGCCAATAACATTTTCTGCAAACACTTCTGAAAAGTTCAGCAATTGAGCAGGCCAGCAGCTGCTGCGAGCGCCGAGCTTTGACAGCGTGACTTATAATGTTTGCGTGAAAAGTGCAAGTTTTTGTGCCTCTTAATCTTGATGCTGGAAGAGAAAGGAGCAAGCAGCGATATTGAACGGTAGAAGAGAAAAAGGGTGAGAATGGAATGAGGGCAACGGGAATAAAAGAAAGAGGAGGGAGAGAGAGTGAAAGAGGGTGAGCAATGAACCCTTTGGTTTGGTGTGGGCACGGTCAAGGCTGCATAACTACAGCTGAGCTGACTTCATGTTCAGAGTTTTTTTCGGGGCACCAAATTCCTTTGTATGGCCTCACTCCTTCACTGGAAGCCAGACAGGAAAGCCGAGAGTAGCAGCAACTTCCCATGCCACTACCACTTTCTCCGGACCTCCCTAAGTCACTGAATCGCTTTGCTCCTTCCTTCGTCTTTTCACACAAGCCCCCTTCACAGTCACACATAGCTGGATGTAGAGGACGAGGAGTTGACATGTGCAGCTCTAGTCACTGTAGGGCATTTCACAAGACACCTATCCTCCCCCTGTCTCCACCCAGTACACAGGTTGTCGCTGTGAAGCTCGGAGCTGTCACAAACCATTAGCAGGTTGGGCCCAAAGTCACCCCGGCGGTGGAGTATCTCTCCTCGTGGCGTTGGACTAGAGAACACTGTCGCAACGCGGTGCAGTGCTAATGATGCCGAGAGCTTGTTTATGGACTTTTATGATTATTTTCACCTTCTCAGACTCTTGTCGGTCCCCGTAGAATCTCACCTCTGTTTTGGCAGCAGAGGTAATGGCAGGAGAAGCCTAAGCGAAGTCAACCGCCAAGCTAGTGAAATCACCACTGGTATTATACTAATGTGGTCGGTAGCTGCCATATGCCTGCTCTGCTCGGCTTTAACTGACTGTCTCTAACCTTGCCCGTTGCTGTTAAAAGGGGGGGGGGAAATAAATGAAAATGAACCTCATTACAGGGCAGAAGAGGTGCAATAAAAGGACTGGCTCAGACGTTTCTCTGGCACTTGACGAAAATACTGCATACGGCATGATTGGTAATTGCATTTTGTGGAGGAGAGGTTAGCAGTTAGTGAGGGCTTTGCTAAAGATGAAGTTGACGTAATGTTGGATCGAAGGAAGTCTTGTCCCAGATCTGTTGTGCTGTCTTGCCAACTCCTATGATAGAGTTGGCAAGACAGTGCAGAGAGGTCTAGGGCCAGGCTACCTTCAATCCAGCATTTCTTCCAGTTCATCTTTAGCAAAGCCCCCGCTGTGCCCCAGACAATGACCATAGGAGTTGGCAAGGCAGCACAAACAGATCGGAGACCAGGCTAGATCGAAGGAGCATTCACATCCAATGAGACATCTTGGATTACGAACCCAGGGCCAGCAGTGTAGCGCTCCCGGCCAGATGGGAGCTGATTAAACATAGAAGACAAACTTTAGCGGAAAAAACAGCGAGAGGAACAAACTGGGTATTAAATCATTGGCTGGTTTTGGACTACATCTGCATCCCAAATGGCACCCTATTCCTTACATAGTGCAGCACTAGGGACCCTGGTCAAAAGTAGTGCACTATGTAGAGAATAGGATGCCATTTGGGACGCACACTAGGTCTGTGATATCTTGGAGATGTACTGTATGGATTTTGGGGGTGGATAGATGGTGCTCTGGGTAGGTCATATCAAATCCACAGTACAGTGAGTCAGAGAGTCTTTACAAAATAAAATAAAATGTTCTGGGGAGGGTTGGTGCATCGCGTGTACAGTACAAGGGAGTGTTTTGATTGGAACATTGAAGACTCAACCTATTCGTTCAGACGCTCTCTTCTGATAAATATGTGAAGGTTTCTTGGATGACGATGTTAATGAGTCAATCGTCAGAAATGTAGAGAGAAATATATTTTTCACCAGATCCATCCATATTTCAGCTTTAGAGCTTTCTCCTCGCATTCTGATAGACTGTAGCAGTAACTCTAATGCGGCATCCTACAGTTTGATCAATATATTCAGAGCAGTGATAAAACTGTGTAAAAAGGGTAGAATTCCTGAAGAAAAAATGATCCGTTGCTGTCTTTTGCCCAGGATGCTGTAGCAGAATTCTCTCCTTTTGGTTGAAAACATTTCTGTTTTAATGCACCAACAAAACACATTCAGCTAAACAAGGCCAGGAAAGCACGATCGCTGGCTAATCATGTACAATTTTAAAATATTCCTTCCACAACCCAGAGGAGCTATGTTGAAAGGTTAGAATTCCTGAAGCAAAATGAGCAGTTGTTGACTGTTGTCCAAGGGAAGATAGCAGGTTACCATGTTGTAGCAGAATGGTCCGTCGTTATCCCTCCATAACCCGGCGAAATTGTGTCAAGAAATTACGTTTCTGAAGTTAAACGAGCAGTTGCTGTCTGTTTGTCCAAGAGGAGATAGTCGGTTGCCAGATTGGAGCCGAAATGTCCCAAACCCCCCCTCCTTAGCTCCCCATGGAACCAGCCACCCACACTAACTGTTGCCTTTGTTTGGACAGGTGACTGCATGGACAACGGGGTGGCCTCTCCCAGCACTGGGGACGACGACGACCCTGACAAGGAAAAGAGGGATCGTCACAACAAGAAGCGAGGGATCTTCCCTAAAGTGGCCACCAATATCATGAGGGCGTGGCTCTTCCAGCACTTGACGGTGAGTAGAGTGGTGGATCACCATTACACTTCTTAGAAGCCAAGCAGTGAGACCTCGATACCGGCGGCCATTTTGAGCTCCATGTTATGCCCTTTAGCCTCAGTTACGCCCCAGGTATGTCATGTCACCTCAAGACTCTTTATGGGTGTTTAGGGTTGTTGTGACAAGTCTGAAATGTAGCGATGAGGGAGGGGACTTTTCCACTGCTGCCTAGCAGGTTTATGAGGATTTGGCTGTTGAAATGACTTTTGAAATGACCACCGAAGTTGCCAAACTGAACCACGCATGCGGGTGTGTACGTGTGTGTTTGTTTGACTAGGCATGTCAAAGCTATAGTGAGAATTATTTTGTAGATAACTTCTCCCTAACTCTCCTGTCAGTCGCTACGAGTGAAGTGAGTTGTGAGAAAAGACTTTGGTTAACATTCACACCATCCAATAGAGCTAGAACGAGGTAGCAGTAAAAAGGGAGGCCATATTCTCTGTGTCCATAGTCTCACGGATACAGACTGTTAAAGGGAGACATATCTGACAGACACGGACAGATCTGATTTACAGCTTTGGCCAAAGCTAGCAAGCTAGTCAATTGGCCAGCAGGCCTCTGAGAGAGACACACTGAGAGGATTTTGCTATGCAGGCATTTTCCCCCCTTTTCCTGTCCGGGCTCCATACAAGGAGAGGCTAAATCAGGATGTCTCGATGGGGGTCAAGGTGGCTGCCAGGACCTACCACTGAACCTGGGGGTAGATGCAGCCTGCAGCAGATGGGATGTGGGAGAGAGGGAGGAGAGATAACCCAGGTAGAGAGAGAGAGGGAGGAGAGATAACCCAGGCAGAGAGAGAGAGGGAGGAAGAGAGGGAGAGAGAGTTGACCATAGACATTCCCAGGTTCTCTGGAGAGTAAAATGTTGGTGTGTGTGTGCATTGTCAGTTAAGTGGTATTTAGAACTACACTGCTCAAAAAAATAAAGGGAACACTAAAATAACACATCCTAGATCTGAATGAATGAAATAATCTTATTAAATACTTTTTTCTTTACATAGTTGAATGTGCTGACAACAAAATCACACAAAAATTATCAATGGAAATCAAATTTATCAACCCATGGAGGTCTGGATTTGGAGTCACCCTCAAAATTAAAGTGGAACACCACACTACAGGCTGATCCAACTTTGATGTAATGTCCTTAAAACAAGTCAAAATGAGGCTCAGTAGTGTGTGTGGCCTCCACGTGCATGTATGACCTCCCTACAACGCCCGGGCATGCTCCTGATGAGGTGGCGGATGGTCTCCTGAGGGATCTCCTCCCAGACCTGGACTAAAGCATCCGCCAACTCCTGGACAGTCTATGGTGCAACGTGGCGTTGGTGGATGGAGCGAGACATGATGTCCCAGATGTCCCAGTGCTCAATTGGATTCAGGTCTGGGGAACGGGCAGGCCAGTCCATAGCATCAATGCCTTCCTCTTGCAGGAACTGCTGACACACTCCAGCCACATGAGGTCATAGCATTGTCTTGCATTAGGAGGAACCCAGGGCCAACCACACCAGCATATGGTCTCACAAGGGGTCTGAGGATCTCATCTCGGTACCTAATGGCAGTCAGGCTACCTCTGGCGAGCACATGGAGGGCTGTGCGGCCCCCCAAAGAAAAGCCACCCCACACCATGATGACCCACCGCCAAACCCGGTCATGCTGGAGGATGTTGCAGGCAGCAGAACGTTCTCCACGGCATCTCCAGACTCTGTCACGTCTGTCACGTGCTCAGTGTGAACCTGCTTTCATCTGTGAAGAGCACAGGGCGCCAGTGGCGAATTTGCCAATCTTGGTGTTCTCTGGCAAATGCCAAACGTCCTGCACGGTGTTGGGCTGTAAGCACAACCCCACCTGTGGACGTCGGGCCCTCATACCACCCTCATGGAGTCTGTTTCTGACCGTTTGAGCAGACACATGCACATTTGTGGCCTGCTGGAGGTCATTTTGCAGGGCTCTGGCAGTGCTCCTCCTGCACCTCCTTACACAAAGGCGGAGGTAGCAGTCTTGCTGCTGGGTTGTTGCCCTCCTACGGCCTCCTCCACGTCTCCTGATGTACTGGCCTGTCTCCTGGTAGCGCCTCTATGCTCTGGACACTACGCTGACAGACACAGCAAACCTTCTTGCCACAGCTCGCATTGATGTGCCATCCTGGATGAGCTGCACTACCTGAGCCACTTGTGTAGGTTGTAGACTCCGTCTCATGATACCACTAGACTGAAAGCACCGCCAGCATTCAAAAGTGACCAAAACATCAGCCAGGAAGCATAGGAACTGAGAAGTGGTCTGTGGTCACCATCTGCAAAACCAGTCCTTTATTGGGGGTGTCTTGCTAATTGCCTATAATTTCCACCTGTTGTCTATTCCATTTGCACAACAGCATGTGACATTTATTGTCAATCAGTGTTGCTTCCTAAGTGGACAGTTTGATTTCACAGAAGTGTGATTGACTTGGAGTTACATTGTGTTGTTTAAGTGTTCCCTTTATTTTTTTGAGCAGTGTATGAGCACAGTATCTTCCATTTCCACCGTATCGATTCTCAACGACTAAGTAAATGTTTATGCATGTGGTCTAGCAAGCTGGCTGCGTGTGTGTGTGTGTGTACCACGAATCCTGGTGAGAAATGGGGCGGCACTGTCGCCCCTCCAGCAGGGAACCACAGGTCTTTTCTTTCTCTCTTCACTCACTCACACAAATGGTATTTTCCTTTTTAATTATCAAGAAATGAGTGGTAAACGAAAGCCATTGCCCAGAAAAGCCCAAAGGAGACCCTGACTGCATCCCAAATGAAACCCCATTCCCTATACAGTGCACTACCTATAACCAGGGCCCATAGGGCTCTGATCAAAAGTAGTGCACTATGTAGGGAATAGGGTGCCATTTAGGAAACAACCCCTCTGCTTGTTTTCTGCACACGGGGCTCCCCAATGAAAAGGTCATTATGTGATAGGGTAATGGGACGAAACCCAGGCCTGCAGATTGTTGCCATGCCCACTGCATTGTGGGAGGTTCCACTGGGATTGGTGGGTCATTACCACGGTGAGGGGGTAGGAGGCGGGGTGAGGAGCGACGGAGGGGGAAGGGGTTAGCAAGCTCCCGCCCTCATTTTTTATTTATTAATTATTATTATTTATTTATTTCTCCCTCTTAGTTGTGCACATAATATTAAAGCCTGCGAGTGAGAGGGGAGCCACAGCTTGTAAAAGAGAAACCACAACAGAACGTGCTGTTTTCTTCACATGTTTCCGCTTCTCTTTTTACAAAGTGTTTCATGTAAAAAAACAAAAATCAACTGGAAGCCATAATCCCTGTTAATGCAATTAGAGGCTAATTTGCCACCCTCTTGCTCACAGATGTGCTGTAATAATAATGTGTGCTCCAACCCTGCAAGCACATTCTACCCAAACCTGAGCAGAAACGGGTGGGAAAGAAGTTGTGCTAGGTCACTAAGTGTACTGTAACTTTGTTTATTGAAGTTGGGTTTGAATAAATTACAAGTTACCTGTAATTAAAAAACACCCACATCTGTGAGTTACGGAATGCTTTGGTTACACAGAGGTGAAGAGAACTTCTGAACTGGCAAACTGCTCAGTTAGACAAGTAGGGTGGAGATGGCCTAATTCCCGAACCTTAGAGTGCCCATAACCCAGAGTACCTTAGAGTGCACATAACCCATGCAATGTAGAAACATTTATATCCTGCTTTCCTGTCCTCTGGAAAAAGGAATGCCTTCCTAAGCAGAAAAAAGAGGAGTCTGGCTAGCGTTTCACAGGAAGCCTCTGGAATGACCTCATCCCCTCTCGCCCCAGGATCATCAAGGTCAAAGTTCGACAGGTTCATTTGAAACCCATTTCGTCATTGGTTGTTTATTGCCAGAGCCCCCTTGGATGTTGACGCGCCAGTCACCCATCCTGTTGCCCCATCTAAGTGGCGTGGATCAGGTCCATGGGCTCATGGATCAGGTCGGGACGGGCAGGCCAGTCCATAGCATCAATGCCTTCCTCTTGCAGGAACTGCTGACACACTCCAGCCACATGAGGTCTAGCATTGTCTTGCATTAGGAGGAACCCAGGGCCAACCACACCAGCATATGGTCTCACAAGGGGTCTGAGGATCTCATCTCGGTACCTAATGGCAGTCAGGCTACCTCTGGCGAGCACATGGAGGGCTGTGCGGCCCCCCAAAGAAAAGCCACCCCACACCATGACTGACCCACCGCCAAAACCGGTCATGCTGGAGGATGTTGCAGGCAGCAGAACGTTCTCCACGGCATCTCCAGACTCTGTCACGTCTGTCACGTGCTCAGTGTGAACCTGCTTTCATCTGTGAAGAGCACAGGGCGCCAGTGGCGAATTTGCCAATCTTGGTGTTCTCTGGCAAATGCCAAACGTCCTGCACGGTGTTGGGCTGTAAGCACAACCCCACCTGTGGACGTCGGGCCCTCATACCACCCTCATGGAGTCTGTTTCTGACCGTTTGAGCAGACACATGCACATTTGTGGCCTGCTGGAGGTCATTTTGCAGGGCTCTGGCAGTGCTCCTCCTGCACCTCCTTACACAAAGGCGGAGGGTAGCAGTCTTGCTGCTGGGTTGTTGCCCTCCTACGGCCTCCTCCACGTCTCCTGATGTACTGGCCTGTCTCCTGGTAGCGCCTCTATGCTCTGGACACTACGCTGACAGACACAGCAAACCTTCTTGCCACAGCTCGCATTGATGTGCCATCCTGGATGAGCTGCACTACCTGAGCCACTTGTGTAGGTTGTAGACTCCGTCTCATGATACCACTAGACTGAAAGCACCGCCAGCATTCAAAAGTGACCAAAACATCAGCCAGGAAGCATAGGAACTGAGAAGTGGTCTGTGGTCACCATCTGCAAAACCAGTCCTTTATTGGGGGTGTCTTGCTAATTGCCTATAATTTCCACCTGTTGTCTATTCCATTTGCACAACAGCATGTGACATTTATTGTCAATCAGTGTTGCTTCCTAAGTGGACAGTTTGATTTCACAGAAGTGTGATTGACTTGGAGTTACATTGTGTTGTTTAAGTGTTCCCTTTATTTTTTTGAGCAGTGTATGAGCACAGTATCTTCCATTTCCACCGTATCGATTCTCAACGACTAAGTAAATGTTTATGCATGTGGTCTAGCAAGCTGGCTGCGTGTGTGTGTGTGTGTGTGTGTGTGTGTACCACGAATCCTGGTGAGAAATGGGGCGGCACTGTCGCCCCTCCAGCAGGGAACCACAGGTCTTTTCTTTCTCTCTTCACTCACTCACACAAATGGTATTTTCCTTTTTAATTTATCAAGAAATGAGTGGTAAACGAAAGCCATTGCCCAGAAAAGCCCAAAGGAGACCCTGACTGCATCCCAAATGAAACCCCATTCCCTATACAGTGCACTACCTATAACCAGGGCCCATAGGGCTCTGATCAAAAGTAGTGCACTATGTAGGGAATAGGGTGCCATTTAGGAAACAACCCCTCTGCTTGTTTTCTGCACACGGGGCTCCCCAATGAAAAGGTCATTATGTGATAGGGTAATGGGACGAAACCCAGGCCTGCAGATTGTTGCCATGCCCACTGCATTGTGGGAGGTTCCACTGGGATTGGCGGGTCATTACCACGGTGAGGGGGGTAGGAGGCAGGGTGAGGAGCGACGGAGGGGGAAGGGGTTAGCAAGCTCCCGCCCTCATTTTTTATTTATTAATTATATTTATGTCTCCCTCTTAGTTGTGCACAGAATATTAAAGCCTGCGAGTG